AACCGTCGAATCAGATCTGACTGGTACAGAAGGAAATTGTCCCTCCTTTTCCAGCAGAGCATCTGGTGGATTTGAACTGTGCACCTATGGGATTGCAGTGCAAAAACAGCCGATCACAGATGATAAGATCACGTGTGTGTGTGAAGAAGAGCATGTGTATAGACAGGTGTGTGTGGATTCACTTGTTAGGTACCATCTGTAGGTTTCAACGCAAAGCAATATGACAATTATTAAATAAAATAATAACAACAATAACAGCAACAAAAGTTGAATTGTAATTTAATCCATTTAGACCCCTAACAACATTATAGAACAGAGCAGAACTGCCCCATTAGTTTCCAAATCTATATAGAAGCAGACTGTTCCACCTGTCTCCTGTGGTGCGGTTGGTAAGTTCAAGCTGCCAATCTTTCAATAAATAATCAAGTGTCTAGTTACTTAACAAACAGGACTCTTGAAACATTAACAGTGGTTTAAAAAAAAAGTTTAAATCTTTCTAGACTCTTCAGCAACACAGTTGTCCTTATCTGTATAAAGAGAGTTCCTCCTGGTGAAGAGATCTTTTGCATGATTGCTGAAGAAGATCAGATTTTTGTCTTGAAATGTCATTCTTGGATTTGAAGAATTTATCTCACATAAGTAGGAGGGTATAAATGACAGGTACCATTATCACTAGCCCCGTTGCAATCCAAGCTACTCCAGAGGATTGGGCTGAAAGAACAAGAAAATCACAGACTTATAGATGTTTTGATAAATGTGTTTGGAGCAAGTGTGTGCGTGTGTGTGTGTGTGTGTGTGTGTGTGTGTGTGTGGTGTTGGGAGGGTGGAAAGCACAAGGAATAGTATGGGCCTGAGAAGGAGCAGAGCAAATTTTTCTCCCTGGTTTCAGCTACAGTGTGCCCAGAATCTCCTCCTCATGAGAAAACCTGTGCGGGTATAAAGAGTGCAAGAAGTACTTCATGGAGTTTGGTTGTTCTGGTTTCTGTGCTTGGAGGTGACTTTGGTCTATCTTTGGTCTGGGAAAGAATTACTTCCTCACATGGGACAGTAATGAGGAAGAGCTTCAGGTGCAGACAATTAGTCATATTTATTGTCTATGCGCAACTGGCTTAGGGAAAGGAAGGACCACGTTTGCTTCCTGTTTCTTTACCCTCCAACAATCTATACTAACTAGAAGGAAAGGAAGAAGGAGCAACAAGGATGGAAGGGACGAAAAAAGAAAGGAGGGGAAGAGGAAAGGAAAAGAGAGCCCATGGAGAGATAGAAGGAGGGAGAAAGAATAAAGGGAAAATGGAAAAAAGGAAGGGAGACAGTAGTAAAAAAAAAGGAAATGGATAATAAAACAGGGAGCAACATAACTGGAGATATTACAAGGATGACTTGGAGTGGCTAAAATGTGACAACAGGCATTTAACCCTTTCCCCAAGAAGAGAGTATTAATGTTAACCAAAACACAAACTTTTAGTTTGTCATGCTAACTTTACTCAGTTTTGTAGACCTGTGCAGGAGCAGGGCATCTTTGGTGTGACACTCTACGTTAAGACTGTTTCTCCTGTTCACTGGTTTTGCTCATTCTAATCTGCGAAGCCCTTCTTTCTTTTGCTGATTTAGGCTGTCCACCAGGAACCCCTCTGTCCTTCATAAACTCTGAGTTGCCTTCCTGAACTCTCACCCAAGAGCCTATTTGTTCCTTCTCATCCTGCTCAATTGTACAGACTGACCTATAATTAGCCTGGTCTCAGATTTCTGAACCCTGCACTATTAGAACTGGTAGGGCCTTAAGAAATTGAGCACCAACTATCTTTTGCAGATGGATCCACAAAGGTGAGGGGAGCTTCCTGAGAGGTGGTGGCAATCTCCCAAGTCTTCCAAGCTCACAGATACCTTTGAGATTCTCTATCACACTGTTTCTAGAAGACTGAGTAGGCTGTCTACAGCATTCTTTGTTCAGGAGAAACCCAAACACCTCCACACTCACTTTGTTTCCCCAGATCTCCCCAAGATAGTTCTTACCTAGAACACAAGGTGAAATGAAGTAGACAGTATCATTATTATTGCTCATGGAGTTGCTGACTTGGCAGGTATAAAACTTGGAGAAATTTTTTGGATAATGGGTAATTTCAAGTGTATTGTTCTGAAGCTTCTGTGGAAGAGGTCCTGAGTCCCTGTACCAGGTGTAGTTTATAGATTCATCTGAGGTATCACACAATAGTTTCACATAACAGCTCTCTTGTGATTTCACTTCCTTTCTTGTCTTGACTTTTATGACAGGCTTGGATAGAGGATCTGAAAAGTAAAAATGATAGAAGACAAAACAATGAATTTTTACATTTATGAGGATTTTATGACTCAAAGGTTAAACCAGTTAAAGTACAAAAGGGATTAGGGAAAATCCCTTGAGTAACCCTAACTAAGAAGAGGTTAATACAGAGGGAGATTTAGTTAGCCTCAAGAGGCTTCAGACCAGAAAAGTTCCATCCTCAAAAGTGAATTCAGGAAAGGGAGTCAGAGTCCATTACATACACTCAACAACAACAACAACAAAAAAATAGAGTTATGATTACATGTGAACCAGAAAGCAGCAAAGTCTTAGCCCAGAAATCTACTGGAGTCAGACTTAGTACCCCAAATGACTGAACGACTTGTGGTATTCCCCATTTAGCACCATGAATTTTTCATTATTTCAAAGTTCTTTGGTTCAGTCTTAGCCTCAGATTAGGAGATCCTGAAGGAGGGGCTGGCCTTTACACAGCAAAACCAATTGTACAACCACCAATGAAGATAGTATCTTCCAGGATTCTGGCCGATCTACAGTGAAGAATTTCATATAAGCCCCAGCACATGGTGGTTGTTGTTATGTGCCATCGAGTCGTTTGTGACTCATAGTGACTCTATGTACAACAGCCTTAAACCCTGCTCTATCCTGTGCCAATCTATGTACAACAGCACATGGTAGCAAGTGATAAATAGTATTGTGCCTGCCTGGCAACTTTGATATTCAGAGTCTAAAACAATGTCTGCTACACACCAATTATTATATAAGAATCTGGTGAAAGTCTGAGTGGATGGATGAAGTACTTATGTGAAAGAAAGAACATGATGCCATCTTTGCAGTGAGACCAGTTGAGGCTTTGGCCTTGGTAGAGTGACATTAAACAAGGTGGTTAAGTCTCCCTAATTTCTTTTTCCTAATTTGTAAAAACAATAGGTCATGGTATTTGTAATTACTTGCTATGCATCAGAAAGCTGACAATGATTAGGCATGATAGAAGGACAATTGATGCCTTTGAGTTGTGATGCTAGAGAGGAGTATTGAATATACTATGAACTGCTAAGAGAACAAACAAGTCCGTCCTGGGAAGGGTGAAGTCAGGCTGCTCCTTGGAGGCAAGGATTCTGAAGCTTGATCTGACATACTTTGGGCATGTTGCAAGGAAGGGCCAGTCCTTGGAGAGGGACGTCATTCTTGGGAGGCTGGAGGAACAGCACAAGAGGAAGACCCTCTATGAGATTGATTAATTCAGTTACGGGTGATAGGGGTAACTGTTTCAGAGACAATGAGATTGGCACAGGATGAACCAGATTTTAGGGCTATTGTACATAGGGTCACAGTAAGTCACAGGCAACTCGAAGGCACATAACAACAACAACAAAAATTCTAATTCATAGTGTTTGTGAGATAAAATGACATTGTACATTAGAAAAAGCTTTTCTCAAAGTATGTTTTATATGTGTTAGAGATCACACCATCATCTTTACAGGCAGTTCCTGGATTAGGAACAGATTCCATTCTTAAATTTTCTTTAAGTCAAATTTATATCTGAGCGTAAGCAATTAATACAGTTGACATCTAATATCAGATAGCTAGATGTTTGTCTTAGCATGTAGTTTATAACATACTTTTCTATACCTCAGAAACATAACTATACTATTGAAGAAAATTTTTAGCTACACTAAAACAGATCTTTAACATAATGATAGAGAAATCATCATCATCATCATCATAATATTTTGATGTGCATTGCAAAGTAATGTCCATTTGTTAAGACAGACCTTATATGTATCTTAGAACTTTCAATAGAATCTATTTTATGGAGTTGGCTCTTAACTATAGATTATTCATAGTCATTAGTCTTTTTGCTCTCAGGAGGATGAGAGGCAAACTGTCCCCATCTGGTCCTTCCTTGGGTTGTTGTTGTTGTTGTTATGTGCCGTCGAGTCGTTTGCGACTCATAGCGACCCTATGTACAACAACCCTAAACCCTGCTCTATCCTGCGCCAACCGCACTGCTTCTGACACACCCATCCCGATTACCCCAGTCACTGAATCAATCCATCTCATAGAGGGTCTTCCCCTCCTGCACTGTCCCTCCACCCTCCCAAGAATGATGTCCCTCTCCAAGGACCCGTCCCTCCTGGCAACATGTCCAAAGTATGTCAGACGAAGCCCCAGAATCCTTGCCTCCAAGGAGTAGCTCGGTTTAATCCTCTCCAAGATGAATCTGTTTATTTTCCTGGCAGTCCATGGTACATTCAGTACTCTTCTGCAGCACCACAGCTCAAAAGCACCCACTCTCCTTCTGTCCTCCCTAGTCATTGTCCAACTCTCTGATGCATAACAAGCGATTGCAAAGACCATGGCCTGTATCAGGTGCACCTTAGTCTCCAGAGAGACACCGTTGCTCCTGAGTACTTTAGACAGGTCCCTAACAGCAGACTTTCCCATAGCGATATGGTTTTTTATTTTCTGGCTGCTGGTGGCAAGAGTGTTGACTGTGGAGCCGAGCAAACTGAAGCTGTGAACAATCTCAATCTCTTAGCCATCCATCCTGACACTGCCAATTGGTCCAGTGGTGAGAATCTTTGTCTTCTTGACATTGAGCCTCAGTCCAATACTGAAGGCTGCAGTCCTTGACCCTTCGCAGCAAGTGCATGAGATCCTCCTCAGTTTCAGCAAGCAGGGTTGTGTCACCTGCATAACGCAGATTGATAATAGATCTTCCACCAATCCTGATGCCACAATTCTCCTCATAGAGCCCAGCCTCTCGGATAATCTGCTCTGCATACATGTTGAAAAGGTATGGAGACAGGATGCATCCCTGGCGTACACCCTTCCCAATTTTGAACCATGCAGTGTTACCCTGCTCTGTTCTGACTACTGCCTCTTGGTCCAAGTATAGATTTCGCATTAGCACAATTAAATGTTCTGGGATTCCCATTCTTCTCAGAGTCAGCCACAGTTTGTTATGATCCACACAGTCAAATGCCTTTTCATAATCAATGAAACACAGATAGAGGTATTCTCTGCTTTCAGCCAAGATCCATCTAACATCAGCAACAATATCCCTAGTACCACGACCCCTTCTAAACCCAGCCTGGACTTCCAGAAGTTCTCTGCTGATGTGCTGTTCTAATCATTTTTGGATAATCTTCAGTAGAATCTTGCTTGCATGTGAAATCAATGACACTGTTCTGTAGTTTCCACACTCAGTTGGGTCACCTTTCTTTGGAATGGGAACAAATATAGATCTCTTCCAGTCAGTTGGCCAAGTGGTTGTTCTCCAGATTTCTTGGCACAACTTGGTGAGCACAACCAGGGCAACATCTGTTATCTGAAATACTTCAATTGGTATACCATCTATTCCTGGGGAGATATATATACTCAACAATAATGAAAAAAAAATCAGACCGCTTTTTAAACATCAAAATATTAAAGAATTCACAAGTCAGCATGTCTTCAGTATACTTTTTCCAAGAGTAAACCCCAGATGATGGTTTCTGGGGTTCAGCCTAAGTTTTTCTGATAATGTTTGGGTTTATCTAAATCCTCTGGGATCTTTACGTCTATTGTGGTTAGCTTCCATGTTGTTAAATGCTGACCCCTTGAACTTCTATCTCCTCTGCAAAGCCTTCTCTTAGCCTGTCCTACTTTCTTTGCATGCATTCATTGAGCAATTTTAATACAATCTTTCATCATATCCTGTTTTCTAGAATATGTTTAATAGTACTTCCTCATTTCCCACAGTAAAGAGAGTAGCACTAATTATATTGTGGTTGAGATGTATTGAACCAGCCAGGGCAGTTGATCTGTGAGATGGCCTGTTAGCATTATCAGAAAAACTTAGGCTGAACCCCAGAAACCATCATCTGGGGTTTACTCTTGGAAAAAGTATACTGAAGACATGCTGACTTGTGAATTTTTAAATATTTTGATGTTTAAAAAGCCGTCCGATTTTTTTAAAATTATTGTTGAGTGAGTGTATATATATATATATATACCAGTTAAACAATTCCTACATGTAGGATTCAGTGACAATTAATTGCATTCTTGAAGTTGCGCAACCATCCTCACCATCCCATTCTAAATTATTTTCTCCAGTAATTTAACACACTGACCCCCTTACTTTCCTAATTTTTTCATTATCTTTGTTGGTTTGTTTCTAGATTGATAGCTCTTTTAAAAGGCACAATGATTCAGGCAAGCATTCTTTACTAATTAAGTTAAGCTACTCGTAGTTGGTTATGTTTTCTGCTGCTAACTGAAACATCAGTGAGAAGGAATTGAAGCACATGTTGCAGAAAATCAAGGAGTCAGTCTTTAGTATGGATTGAATCTCAATGTTAAGAAGACAAAGATTCTTACCACTGGACCAATAGGCAGTGTCATGATGAATGGATAGGAGATTGAAACTGTCAACAGCTTCATCTTGCTTGGATCCACAATTAACACTCTCGGTACCAGCAGTCAGGAAATAAGAAGAAACATTGCATTGGGGAAAATCTATAGTTAGGGACTTCTCCAAATTATTGAGAAGTAATGATGTCAGTTTGAGGACTAAGGTGTATCTGATTCAGGCCATGATCTTTCCAATTATTTGCTATGCATCTTAGAGCAGGGCAATGAATAAGGATGACAGAAAAAGAGTTTATGCCTTTGAGCTGTGGTGTTGGAGAAGAGCACCAAACATCCCATGGACAGCCAAGAGAACAAACAGATATGTCTGGGAGAGGGTGCAGCCAGAGTGCTCTTTGTAGGCAAGCATTTAAGACTTTGAGTACTACTTCATTAAGTAGCTTTATACTGGAAAGTAGAACAGAAACACTAATCATAATATTTGTCCAATTAACTGGATTGTCCTGTGAAACTATAATTCTAAACACCCAAACCGAAAGACAAAATCTCATGAGATGACTGGTTTTAGAAGTAACTTCAGCAGCTGATCTTTGTGTTGTTGTTATAAATATGTCTATCATACAACTTTTGTTAAGTTTTTTACAGGTGCACA